GTCTGCAGGCCCGCTGGATGGTAGATCGAAATTATACGACCAATTCTAGTGCAATTTGTGTAGATGGTTTCTTGAATATCAAAACACAGGCGGACAAGGGGCGAAACGAAGGTGACGTTGGAGGTGGCGGGGGCGGGGTATAATTGATTATCACGGCTACGCCGAGGTGCGTGCGCGCCGCGCGGGGGCGGTGGCCCGGGCGGCCGCGGCGCGGTGGCGGCGGTGGGACTGCACTGGCGGGGTCGCCCGGCCGACTCAGGGCGGCGGGCGCTGCAAGCCGCTCTGGCGACCCCGCCGCCCGCGTAGACTAAACAGCATGCGGCCGCGGTCAACTGACCCGTCGCAAGCCTCGTCTGGCTCCGGGCGGACGAGCTCAGGATGAAGGCGCGGCGCGGGCTGCGGCGCGACTGCGGGTCAAGCCTCAGGAATTTCTCGGCGTCTCGGACGGGAGGTCTATGTTCGAGCTCCGACGGTGGCAGGATTTTGACACTAGCGGACAGGGCTATTCTATGGCGGGCGACAACGAGGTTTTCCAGTAAAAACCATTGAGTTCAGCTAGCGCAATGGTTCCAGCGAATTCTATTCTAAAGTACAGAACGTTTCTCTTACGCAAATTATATGAATCACGGAGTCGTGATAATCAATGATACCCCTCCCCGCCACCGCCCGCAGCGTCGTCGCCCCGGGTGCCTATGTTTTATACACAAACAGCTAAAGCTATGTGATAAGTGGAACATGTGTGGCATGCGATGCATAATGGTTCCTGCTTCAAAAAAAATTGTACGTGTTAAGTAGAAGAGTGCAGTTAGCTTAGTAAAATATTGTCGAAGATTACAAAATTGTCAGTTTGATTTGGCCAATTTGACCCGGTTTGGTCGCGGTGAGGCTCCAGCTTTCGGTTGGTTGGTTGTTAGTGATTCCGCTCGAGTCTACTACTGATATCATTATCCCAGTAAGTGTAGTGCATGTTTTTTCTTCGGAAGTCGGCGGTGATCTTCCTCCTCTGGTCGGTGACGGTTTCCGGCCCCGACCTAGCTAGCGGGTTTTCCTCCAACCAGGAATCACCCACCAGTAGGGCACCAACCCAGCCGGGACACGCTCTAGGCTACCGTCAGGTCTCCGTACATGTGTGGTAGTGTAGTCCAGCTTTC